TCCAAACAAACTGCTACCTCTGTCACCAGTTGTTCTGATCGCCAAGGTCGCCCCGACCGCTCCGATTCGCTGTTTGCTGAAACCTACCCACTTCCAATTGGCCAATCAAAAAGCCAAGGTCGTAGATACAGTGTAATGGTCGTCAGACGCGGGATGAGTACGGAGCGCGGAGTACCGATATTTATTTGTTCATAGCGAACTTTCTGAAGGTCCTCTGTTCTGTTCCTTCTTTACTTACAAATAATCGTGTTGGATTGGGAGAACATTCTATTGATTGACCAATGTGATTATCTTACTCGATTTCTGGAAAAGGGTTGGACTTTGATCCTCTTAGGGTTCACTGATCCGTTCGTTAGGAGGTGCCCCTCATGACACTGAGTTCCCCACGACAACTGCTGTTCGCCAGGGTTGTCCCATGCCTCCTTTCCTTTTCAACATCGTGGTCGAAATGATCATGAATGACTCGGTTCATTTCTATTCTACCGAGTTTGGCGTTCTGTCACGTGATCGATTGACAAACCCGAAGTATGCGGACGACATAGCTCTCCTTGGGTCTGACGCAGTGACTATGCAATCAGTAATGAATTGACTGACACGTAGGGCTGCACACTTCGGTATCGGCTTTTCACCTTCAGAGTGCAAATTACTTTTGCAGGACTAGACTGACACATCTTCGGTTCAAGCTTTCACGGAACAGCCACTGGAAGGGATGGATCGGTTCACTTGCCTTGGTAGCTGTAACACCTCTGGTTGTCACATCACTGACGCGGTTACTTCGTGAATCAGCTAGACTCGTGTGGCTTTTCAGAGATTCAACCATCTATTGAGACGGCGAGATATCAGTTTGTCATTGAAACGTAGGGTGTCTAACGATGCCGCAAGACCGATCTTACCGTACGGATCAGAGACCTGACCAGTTCGCAGCGGACCTTAAACACTAGGCTTGTTTGACCACCGGTCCTTGCGGAGTATTGCTGACATCTGGTGGGAACACCGGGTGAACAATGCTGAGGTTCTCCGGTTAGTATTTGACAAGAAATCTTCTGCTTCCCCGCTCTAATGTTTATTGAATCTTACTCGCTTACGTTGCCTAGGCCATGTTCTCCGTATTCCAGTTGACCAGCTTCCTCGGCGTGTGTTGTACGCCGTTGATACACTAAGTTGGATGAAACCGCGAGGTGGCCAGTTCATGACGTGGCATAGATGCATGAAGAACTTGGCTGAAAGACTTGGTTAGGCTAGTGCGTGCCGTCTCCGTGGATGAGGGCCTCGGGGTGGTTCACGCCTCTGGTTGGAGACCGTACCAAACATGGCGCATTCAGTGGCGTACTTGCATCCGGTTTCTTGCACCTGGTGATTTTCGTTCCTTTCTGATTAGTTTAACACTTCCTTGTTTCCATTTTATTTACATTTTCTTTGCCTTTAACCCCACTAACGCCGTTGTTATCCACAGTTATACTCGCCATGTGAACCATGACAACTGGATCCACCGCACTTCGGTGCCCAGAACATAGTCGTTCTACTGAACTGCTGGGTGGACGGGGTGCGCGGTGTTTGTGCTCGGCTCAAAGAGTAATTCCATGCAGTGTGGAGCGGTCTACGGTCCAGCCACCACCTTGCGTACATGTGGTACGCATGATTCCCAAATTATATAGACACGAATACTGTTGCTGGGTAATTTGAAGGAATGTGGGACAGCTCCGTTGATGAAACGTGGCTCCCATCTACATGCCCCCGGTCTTATTTCTTCGTGTTCACACTGGATACGGGGTGTGTGGATGGAACTGGGCGGTGCAGCGCAAACCACCTATGGTACATCTGTAAACGTAGGCGCCCTATAGAGGCCCAAAATCCGGAACTGGATGCCGCTACACACACACACACACATATATATATATATATATATATATATATATATATATAACACGGCCACATGGACCGTGCACCCCGTCCCCTCCAGCAACGACCAGCTGTCTCCTGGAGCCAGTATGGACGCGGTAGTGGGTAATAGACAGGTAGGCACCTTGTCAACGTGCACATCAAGCGCAGCCACACCGGGGATATCAAACAACAGCCAACCACTTGAGAGTCAGATGAGTCTCCGATCACCAACTAACAGAGGCGTTTGGTTCGCGGGGCCGAGAATACTCAGAGTTCAACTGGCCTCTACCTTCCACCCGTGCGCACAGTACACCCTGTTTCGTCCGACTGGGTCCACCCAGCGAAGTGGAAGTGTGGGTAGAAATTAGACACATAAAACGATTCAAGGCATTTCTCCAAAGTTATTCAAGAACGGCGGCTTAGCAATCATCAACCAGCTAATCTCGTTTTCTAACATCTGCCTTCTTGGGGCGAATCAGTTACTGTCCTAATTTTTGAGAAAGATACCCACATTTCATGCGTCAAGTATAAGGAGATTAATCTCATTCCGGCTGCTTCCAAGCTCTTAGCATCCGCTATCTCGCAGGTTATCCCTAATACATGTATCCTACTGCTGTGAAGAACAAGATGGTTTGCATCCCGATTGTGGATGCGTAGATCAAATCTCTACGCCCCACCAAGTCCTCGAGCACTGCCAAATTAACCACGGTCGTACAATCGTCGCATTCTTAGACACAAGTACTGCATTTGACTCGGTTACTCGACCAGGTTTATGGCGTTGCTTGCTAAGTAACGGGGTTCAAGAGACGTTTACGGCCATCCTATCTACAAGTTACCTTCATGTCTTCTGCGGAATGAGTCCACGGCAAACTTTCCCCGCGGTATGCGTCAGGACTATCCTATGCCCTAGTTCCTCTTCAATTACGAAATGGAGGAGTGTGTAGACCTACAGGTTTCCGAAATTGTGGTTTAGAGCTTCCACAAGGTGAGCGTGAGACAGACTTAGATGACACTAATGATATCGCTCTACTTGCGGACGACTCGCAGTATTCCAACGATTCTAAACCGCTTGTGACTGAGACATCTAAGTAGGAATGGGCTTCACCCGGTCTAAAGTGCCGTTCCAGGATTGACACTCGCACGTTCCTGTGCCCACAATTGAAGGTGCATAGCTCGGACAAATAGATAGTTTCGTCAACGCTGGGAGCTGCATTTCTACTGGCAGATCTATCGTCAAGGAAATTTCTCTCCGCACTGCTAAAGCCCGATCTTGGGTAATTGTAGCGTCGTCTAGAGGTTTTAATCTAGGTAAAGGGCCATGCTTACAGTGCCTTTGCTCGTCCAGTATTGTTGCATGAGAGCGAGTCGTGGCCAATTCGAGTAAGGACATGTGCCGCCTTTCTGTCATCAACAACGGTTGTCTGAAGAGGATCACTTGTGTGTAGTGGCAACACCGATCTCACAGTGATGACGTTAGACGTTGCATTCTGAGGAATACGAGTAGACCCTACAACTATCTGGTTTCGCTACGTCAGTTGAGGTGATCGGTCCCGCGCTTCGTATGGCGCATGAGCGTTTGCCGCGCATCGCTCTATTCTCTCCTACGTGATCGCGTGCAGTGGTTAACCTTCTACTTGGCGACAGCGGATGAAATCAATGACGTCACGTCTAGTGGCCGTTGGACCCGTGCATTTTCTTGGATGAAAACCCAAGGAGGAGGAACGTCAGTGGTTTAATACGCTTAAGGACATGAGCCCCAATCAGAATCAGCGGATGAATTTTGTGCAGAATAGTTCTGATTTATAGGTTTAATGCTTCAGGCATTGAAGGTGATAAAAAGGATAAAAATATGTGCACATGGATTACTGTGAAAACTGTAAACTTATGGTCGATTTATCCTTAAAAATACTCGCCCGGTCTCCACAGGGTGCAAACCCTTTTGTTATTTCTCTGAGCATAACTCACACTATCTGCACTATTGGATAGTCCACTTGAAGACTGGCACAACGACCTGATCTCCGTAACTCTAAGCTCTATCATTAGGCTTCATGTACCTCACCGGTCGCGTAATATATGACCCATCAGACACTCAGTTTTTCTCGCCTTTCGGCGGATTTATCTATTTTGAGGCTTTATGTGCATTTTTTCTCAAAAAACATTGGTGTTAAAGTGGCTCGCCTCATGTAGGAAGTAAGGCCGAAGGTCGGAGGTAGTGTTTAATCATCGACAATTTTACCTCAAGGGTTTGGCCCGTGTGCGTACCTTTGTGAATCAACTAACTAATTTCCAAATCTGTACAGTCAGTTTCAATGATGTTCACTAACTTTTGGCAACCTGATAGGGCCTGTGTTTTGTTGTGAATCGCACCAGATATATTTGATCTCTATGTGAAAAGGATGTGAGCGAGAGACATGGCGTCGACCAATCTCGCCATGCTATAAGAATACTACTGTTTTTCGTGCAACATAACGTATCCCTGCCTGTGCGTAATCGAACAACTGTCAGCCATGAGTTGGAAGATAGTGCCGTTCGATAGTGCGATAGATGTTCTGTTGGATGATTGTCAGGAGAGTCGCGGCGTTCAAATGACGGTAACCCTGTGATTTTTTGACAGCGAGCTGCGAACTCTCGCAACATAGACCGATATGCTCATCGTTTGTCATCATCAACCTTTCTGACCGCCATTGATTTTGGTCGTTTGGACTCCAACAGGTCAGTAGTACCCGCTACAGTGTACCGCCTAGTTGCTACAAATCATAGCTAGTCCGCTCAAACCATATTATCATTATATTACGATGCGGGTGAGACTCGAATTATACCTGTCCATACCTTCGTTTCATTGCAAATGGATACATACCATACCAAAAGCTTGCTGTTCGATGGTTGGGCTGTTGTTGGTAAAATTTTATTTTAAATGTTCTTTTTCTCCTGGCAACCACAGCACGCCTATCTTCGCTGTTCTATCACTTCCGCTCGTTGTGAAGTGTCGCCTAGTTTATCACGTTGCACACTCTGGTTTCCTTTCTGGTGCATCACTGGGTGTAAAAAAACATCATTTGTTGAGCACGGTGCCTGAGTGGGCTTCAATTACCCATATACCATCTTTTTTTCTCCACTAGTTATTTGAACGAGGAATCATGGGCATCAGTCAGTGTGATCTACAAACCAAGTTAATTCGCCATCTCGTCAGAACTCACGGAGCTTGTGTAGTCGACAGACTGTGTGCATGCCTTGCTCAATACCACAGCATATGTTGGCCAGAGTCCGAGCACAAATTGGTAGAACATGACCATGATGAGCCAACTGAAGTGGCTGGTTCTTTGGGTCAACCAGGCGGCTTAACCCCATTAGCTACCGAACATCGTGCTCGACTTGTTGATCTCTTGAAGCAGTCTGGATCACCTGGTGCGACGGAGGCTGCACTAAGTCTGCGAGAAGTGATGGAAAAAATGCGCGCCATTCAAACCAATAGCTCCGGTCTACGTGAATTCTACGAATCAGTGGACATTTTCGCCAGCGAACACGTCGGTATTTCATTTGGTACGCTACACTGTCGCAGCGACGCCAAGCGAAAAAGAGAGGAACGGCAGAAAGCAAACGAACTGGCCATTCAAGTGGAACTGCAACTCGTTGAAGCACATCGGCAAATGAAGATCAGTTCGAATGTTGAGTATGCAGCCATGGTAACGGTGGCTGCCTCCTGTCTGTTTGCCCAAGTATTCACGGGTTGGCCTGTAACCTCTCCGGGAAAGTGTGTGCCCGACCTGGTAAAGTGGCTTTGCGAGTATTTAGCTACGAAGAAGCAGCACCCAAACTCAAGCACTGAGACAATACCAAATTCCCCTTCACCTGCAGTCCAGTTTCTAATCTCGTCCCCTGCAATAGATGACCTACATTCGCTAACCGCTCGTATATCACAGCATATGCATTCCGGTGCCGACTTTACTTCCGATACAGGAGTAGGAGATTTTGTTGACCATATCTTGGAAGCCGCCCGCAGTTGTAGGAAATTGATTTATGCATGAATATCTGAGCTTCGCCCACATATCTTCCCAATCACTTTGAATTGTGTGATTTCATTCCTTTTTGCAATGCTCATCTCTCGACTGCAAATATTTTTGCAGCTCTTGGAACATCTGTGCCTTGCATGCTCTACACTCGTTCTCTTCGAATTACTGCGAGATGGTGTCTGATTTTCACTTGTTTCACACCCGTTTTGAACTGGTCCTTCAACCAACAGTCACATTTCTAGCATTCCCATAACTGACAACTACCTCGGCTTCTCACTTCCCGCTTGCACCAAGCGGTTTTGTTCTGACAGCGTGCATTGTTTGATGTGACTAATTGTGAATAAATTGCTGTGATACAACCTGTTTCCCATCTCCTGGTTAACATCAATGAAATTCGGTTCAGCTGCAATTATCGCGTTTGATAAGCAGCGAATAAATGCTAATAAATTAGCCATTGACATCCTGTTGACTGCGGAATATGGTATTTTGTATCGTGTCTATAATGATGGAAAGAGCTCTGGGCATGGTTAGAAAAGTAGTTGTAGTGGAAGTGTGTGCTCTTTGCTGCCGTATCTATCTTCGTATCACAATGGACAGTCGAAAATTGAACCTCCTGTAGCGATATCATAGCCGGCGTGCGACGCTCGAACGTCATTTTTGCCAAACATAACGGCGCTGTCTCACAGTTACGTTTCACGTTTAAAAAATTTTGATGTTTGTACTAAGGCCGGCCGTGCTTCGATCGCGGCACGATTTTTTTCCCGTACATGTCGTTCATTTTGGACACTGGAACCACATCCGAAGTAGAAATTTTTCGGTTAGCGCGATAGTCACTATGTATGACCTTAACACTAGAACGCCCGGAGCGGTCATTTTGACCGCTCGTCCTTGTTAAATGTACATACTTTCTACATTTATAAACATTTTTTAAAGATGTTTCGTGACTTTTGCTATTTTTAAATATCCTTCATAACTGTGAAGTTTCACTTTCATATCTGTTACCGTTTTCGAGAAAGAAAGTAGTTGTACTCTTACTACCGAGGAAGCCCGTTTTCCTCTAATCCGGTTTCTTTTTTCATTATCAGCCGCCGCTATTGTTTCTGACAAAGTTACATTAAATATCAGTCAAAACGGAAATGAAAACTAGTCGGTTCGCGATTTCCCAGTGATATTGTGCATTCGGTCTGATGAATTTCAGTGTCATTGATACACAATGGCTCATAGGAAGGAAACCGCTTTTGAGGTTTTAAGAGAACTTAGAGCTATCAATTACAACGAGTCTGTAGACGAGAATGAATATGATGTTGAAGACTTCATTTTTCAGGACTCGGCAGTAGATCACAACATCCCTAATATTCAAAGTTCTGACAGTGACACTCCTCATTAGTGCCGATTCTGCATTATCCAATGAAGTCTACGTATCGAAAGACGCTACATCGTGGACCGCAATGCAGTTTCAGACAACTACTGTTGGTGGGATGCCATCACAGAAGGTTTTTGAGGCTAGACAAGGACCAGCTGTCTACACTACGACATGTGTACAATATAGTGAGCTTGTAGTGGACCATTACTAGAAAAGTGAGTCCTGAGGCAAAAGTTAATCTTGGGCAAAAACTTACAGTAGTGGAACGACCAAGCACACTTGTGTCCGTTAGATGCCGACTAGGGATTCAAGGATATAACTCCGACTACTGGTAGCACAGGTAGCAGCAAACGAAACCAGCACGATGCGAGTTCTTGAGCTTTGATTCTAAACTATGCAGCGTTAGGTCAGCGTATGCGGGTTTAAGGCGGTCAATGCTCACGGACTCTTTGGACCCATTTTTTCCAGAACGAAGTATTTCGGTTCCCACCACAAGGCCTTGAATGGACCTTCATAAGACGGCGTCAGGGGTCTTCTGATAGCATCGATGCGGATAAAGACGAATGGACAACTGTGTAAGTCCGGATGTATGCACTGTTTGCGTGTGCTTATTCGTGATGTCTGTCTAATGAATCTAAATTGGTGCTACAGACGTTCAGCATGGGGCGTAGGACTCATCTCGCGGGGACTCGTGAGTGTCATCTCGCCTGGCAGTCTGAGGGTTGTGCTAAAAACAAGTTCGGCTGGGCAGCATTCGATATTCCGAATACCAAGAAGAATAGCTGGAAGACGTTCAGACTAATGGGCATCGGCGAACTAGCTGTACCGGTGGTTTTCAGTTGTCGATGAAATCGTTCGACTAGGCCATTGGCAGCGGGATGATAGGCAGTCGTCTGGATGTGAGTACAACCAACTAATCGACTCAAATCACGAAAAAGGGTGGAACTGAATTGAGACCCTCCATCAGAAGTGACAGTGGCTGGCACACCGAAGAATGAAATCCACGACTCAACGAAAGCATGAGCAGCTGTTTCTGCTGAAATATCACAAAAGGAATCGCATGGGAAAACGATCAACACAAGTCAACAGATAAGTGAAACCGTTTGAAGCAGATAACCGTCCTACAACATCAAGGTGAATGTGTTTGAATCATACTTCAGGGAGTGTAAATGCACAAGGAGTTGTAACAGTTTGTCTGTGTACCTTGTTGATTTGGCACCTAAGACAGGTTTTGGCCTATTGTCAGATGTCTGTGCGCATATTATGCCAGATGTAACGGTTGGTAATTAGTTTCACAGTACATCGAATGCTGGGGTGCGATAATCCATGAAAATGGTCAAAAACCACTCGCCGATAAGACTGGAACAAAAGATCTAAGTTTGCCAGTGGAAATATCGCAGTAGATTCTTGCATCAGAATTGAGCACGGGTAATTGCAACCATTTCAACGTAGCGTTCGATCGAAGCTGTGTTCATTCTGGGTCACTGGCTTGGGCAACAGACATTTCTTTTAGATCGGCGAGCATGAAAACTGATGGATGTGAACACGGGATAATGCGTCGGCAACATGATTGTTAGGATCATCAATATAGCGAATCTCAACACAATACTGGGTAAGCTAATCGAGGTGTCGAGTCTCTCTAGGGGAGTAACAGTCAGCATTTGCACAAAACGTCGACCGTCAAGCATGTGACGAAAATGCTTTATGGCCAGGTACATGGCAAGAAGCTCGCGACCGAACGTACTGTATCTGATCTGGGCACTTTGAAGCTTCCGTGAGAAGAAAGACAAGAGTTGCATTTCGTTGCCCACTGGCTGCTGCAATATGGCAGAAACGGCGGATTGTGAAGCGTCTGTCTTGAGAATGAGAGTGACGTTGTCGTCCGTTCTCAAGTAAGTAAGTGAAGTAGCTTGGCTCCGCTTTTGCTTGACTGCGTTACACGCTGCTTCTGCGTTTGGAGTGGACGTAAATATCTTTGCATTACCTTTGAGCAAATCGTTTAAAGATTGAAGAGTTGCGGCGCAGCCATGTATAAACCGTCCGTAGTGGTTAACCATGCCGAGAAAACAGCGTAGGATGTTAGCGGATTGTGGCGATGAATAATTTATGATGGCTTGCGTTTTATCAGTTAAGTCAAGAATTCGCTTTTATGCACCCATGAGGGGTGAATTTTAAGCTGTAACACACGCGCGATCGAAACTGTGAAAAAGCAATGTGACACATTCAAATACAGTAAAAAAAAGAATATGGCGGCTAAAACAATGTTTCATGTTTGGCACAGGATCACTAACATAATTTGCTGTTAACTTCTTGTATGATAATATTCGGATCAAACAGAAATCTAGCCAGATAACGCATGACAGATGAGCGTTGGTTCGCGTGCGGGCGTATATGGCTGTGTAGTTTCGTCGTGTTGAGGAACTAGATTTGCAGTTGGATAAAACGCTATGTAAAGGATGGCTGATATCAGTGAGTATTTTCGAAGCAAGTTTTGCGCATGAATTAACATGGACAGGTGCGATGTGTTGAACTAAGGTTGGTTTAGAAATGCTACTACATCGTGATGTGTCTCAACGACCTATGAAGTAGTTTGAAATGCTTACCCAATGGGCTCGGAAAGATCACAGGAGAACAGTAGGTCCAGTGTGGTAGAACACATACAATGTTGAATCGCATGATCAAATGGTGGGAGACTGAGGACGAACAAAGAAATGAGACATAAAAGGACAGTCGCCTGACTGGTGAACACTTCATTCACATGAATTGACCATGATAAATCATGGCTCAGTATGATTCCCAGATACTGACGTCGAGAAGCTCAGGCCTTCACCATTGATGTGAAGTTGGGGACAGTCAGCGACGAGTTTCTGGTAACGAACTGTCTTATGCATCGAAAACAGTACATCGTTGCACTTGGAAGCATTCAGTGTTAAGCCGCGGCAGTTTGACCAATGCACAATTTTATCCAAACAACATTATAGCATAGTCGAAGAGGCTTAAGGTGGATGATTCACGCCGATTAGTACCTCATCGGCGTATTTTAGCATTATGGCTTCTTCAGGGAAAGAGCCGACGTAGGTAGAGAATAAGAATGGCAACAAAATGGCTGCTTGAAGGAACACCGGAAGTAGTGCTAAGAGGCAAGGACCTCATGCCTTTGAGCCTGATTGACTGAGTACGTTTGACAAAATATAACCCTATAGCAAGAAGGCTATGGATGGTTGAATACCAGAAGCCTGGATATCTTGCACCAAGATTTCGCGGTTAACACAACCGAAGACGTTGGTGTAGTCAAGGAAGCAGACACCTGTAGCTTTGTTCTTTCTATCTAGCGAAGATAGCACTGTGTGCACCAAACAAGCTACTGCGCCTTGTCTCCACCTCGAACTTCGGTATGAAAATTGTTGTGCGTCTTTCAGACAGGATTGAGTTAGCAATTTTTCAAACATTAATTTCTCAGACTTTTAAAGTCACTGAAGCGCACGAAATAGGACGATAGTTACCTGTCGCTTTCTTCGCTATTGGTGCTATGCTAGCAGCTCTCCAACAGTCTGTGATCTTGCCTTGGTTTAGGCACATAGTGTGCAACTCAGCTAGTGGTCGGGCTAATGCCGTTAAAGTTAATTCTGTGGCCTAGGAAGTCGATGGACGGTTGGCCGAATACACATTTGTCAAGGTTAATGGTGATACCGTGATGTTCGAAAACTTTTCGTAGATATGCTAAGTTCGTCGGCCGAAGCACTTGCAACCAAAACACGTAAATTGAGCAACAGAAGTGATGAGATTGAAAGCAACATACGCTAAGCCCATGTAATACTTCATGGCAGAATTGAACAACAATAAGAAACTATTGTTGCAAAATGCACCACACAGCATAGCTCAGTGGATCTTTGAGGCACGCAAACCATTGCACTGCGGTAAGGTCTAACCTCATTGCGATCGGTCGACAGGGAGCACTTGCCCGAACATTAGTGATCCTCTCCATCGATATCTGCTGCTTTTCGGAAACCCACCTGCAAGACTCGAGCTCTGTGCTTACTCTGCGATCCTCTTCAGGTGACACAAGCAGTGTTTTCTCATTGCGCCTATCCGGTGACGTTGCAGCTTCGAACACCGGCCAAACTGGTATTGCCATTACCCTGAGTCCCCGGGCTGAAGCTGCTCTGGTTGATTGGATCCCAATCAGTAGTTGGATGTGTGCGGTCCTATTGGCTGGCTCGTTCGAAGTCGCACGGGATTAATGGGTGTCTATTCGTCATCGCTGCCTACGCGCCCACAAACTCCGGCGATCATTCGGTAGAAGACCACTTCTATCGTCAGCTGACCCAGCTCCTTCGTCTCAGAAGAAGCACGGACACTGTAATGCTGGCTGGGGGTCTGAACGCCCAGGTTGGGAAATTGTCCACACGATTTGCATCTGGGCGGTCAACACAGTGTAGGCTCCCTCATTGCTAAAGGCGAGCGGTTGCTACATCTGTGTGAAGATGCTCGCTTATTTCT